CAGTCACAAGAACTGGCGTGTTAACTTGGCCTGAGAGCTGCTTCCTCACCGTCCCCACCTCTCTCCTCAGAGCTCAGAGCCCCAGCACCTCCGCCCCTCACAGGTTGCTTTCCACCCCCAGTCCATTCGGGGCGCCCTCAAGGCCACCAGGAACTCCCTGGCTGCTAAACCCAGCGGTTTTCTCCCGCCTCGCGTCTGTGACGCGTCTGTTCCCCTGGCTCTCCTCCTGCTTCTCTTGGTTCTTGTTCTTTCACGTCTCCCTCTGACCGTCTGAGGGGGTGCTGGCCAGCCTCGACCCTCTCTCCCGAGAGAGCCCTGATGCGTGGTGACTGCCTCTCTTAGCCCTGAGCTGCTCCATGAGATGGTGGGGTGACGGGGGCTTGGTGGGGGGAGCACTTGACATGGGCCCGGTCCAAAGTGAGATGTGCCGAGGCGTAAAGTGCAGATTTCAGAGGCTTTAACACCAGAAAAAGAAGTATCGTTTTTTGTCAATTAAATAAATAATAAAAATAAATTAAAATCATTTTTATATTGATTATATGGGAGATGAAAATATTTTGGATGGATTCATTTCATCTGTTTCTTTTTGCTTTGTCAGTGTAACCATGGGAAATTTCAAGTTACGTGGGTGGTCGGCGCCTGGTTTTTGGCCCTGACGCAGGCACCCTCTCGCACGGCCAGGTCTTGATGCACTCTGAGGGATTGTTCAGCCACTTTTCTTCCTCTTACTCATGCACCCACTCCGTGTCTTCTGAGGTCCCTCTGTGTGCCAGGCCCCGTTCCAGACACACAGGGGACTGAGATGAGCGCTCCTGTAAATGTAGCCCAGCATCGCATTCAGGCTCTCGGGAGCAACCTCGTGTTGGTCCAGCCCGGCGCTGGATGCCGGCAGTGCCAGCTGGGGGGGCTGAGGGGGGGCTTAAACCCACTCCCTGCCCTCAAGCAGCCCCCAGTCTGGAAAGAAGAGGATGCACTCTTACAGTCACAGCTGCCTTCATAGACTCACAGTGAGAAGCAACAGGAAACACGTCCTGTGACATTGGGGGGGGCCTGGCTTCCAGCTCTCAGCAGCCAGATCTGGACACGTGGAAAGCCTTAGGAGTCCCCTCTCCAGAGCTCAAGGGCCATCAAGTGCCACCAGCTGTCAAACCCAGCGAGGCAGGCCTGCAGACCACGTGTGGGTGGGGCGGGTGCTCAGCCATAGCTCCCTGGAAAGCGAGGGGCCATCCCGAAGCCCAGGGCTGGGATGGTTGTTGGACAAGTATCACATTGAAGTTACCATCCTCAAACTGTTCACATCTTATTTTTACGTAGTGGATGAACATGGGTTTATGGCCTCTTTTTTTTTTTTTTTTAAGATTTATTTGTTTATTAGAGAGAGCGGGGGCCAGAGGGAGAAAGAGAATCCTCAGGCAGACTTCCCGCTGAGGGTAGAGCCCCACGGGGGGCTCGATCTCATGACCCTGCGATCATGATCTGAGCCAAAATCCAGAGTCGGACGCTTAACCGACTGAGCCACTCGGGCGCCCCGGTTTGTGGCCTCCTGACAGGAAGATTCGCAGCACATCTGTGGAGGCCGGGCTTGCGTGCCTCAGACTGGGCCAGCACCGCTTCATGAATGTTCGCCAGCTCTTCTTTACCCACTAGGATGCAAACCCTAGCACCAGGCTGCTTGGTGAGAGGACTGGAGAATACAGTCGCGCCTCATTAACCGGTTGCCTTCCTCAAAGTCAGCCTTTTTGGAAAACAAACAACAGGCGAACTTCCAGCCATCATCCTGTGTTTGCGGTCTGTGACCAGAGCAGTGCGGTGCGTTCACCCTGCCTGTCTGTCCTTGCCCCGGGGAGGGAGGAGGAGGGCAGGGGACCAGCCTGGTCCCCCCCCAGGGTCCCCAGACTCTCTCTACTGCCACCCTGCCCTCCGTGTCACCCTGTCCCCAACACACAGTGGGCCGTTCACGTTAGACTTCCCGCGTCGTAACCTGTGGTCCCAGGTTTCTGACAAAGGAGTGTGGCTCATTTCTTGTGGTTACAACATGGGCTTTTTTTACCACTGACCTTGGCTGGGATCCGACAGTGATCCTCCTCATTCTTCACCCTTTTCCTCCCTGGTTCCCCACTTATTTGGTGTACATTGTTTCCTCTGTCCTCCGGAGAAGAACTCGGGTTGAAGGACTATTCTTGCCCTCCTTCCTGCCTCCGGCCCCCTTGGGCCATCCAGGCGCGTCTCCCCAACTCAGGGTCCCTAACTTACTCACAGCTGCTGAGTCCCTAACCTACTAGAGCCCCAGGTCCCAGGAATCAGGACATGGGCATCTTTGGGGGCTGTCTACCACAGATGGCCTTATTTATTTAGGAAGAGGCTGGTAAAGAGGCTGACAGCTTTTTTTGTCATTGAACTTGGTCTAAGAACATAGAAAGGGATGGGGCAGAGGAACAAAAGTACTGCCTTCTCGGGGGAAATAATGGTATCACCCTTAGGAATGCGACCTATAGGAAAATGTGTCATTGAAAGGGAAATGATAATATTTCTTGATCAAGTACTTGTACAGGGTCACAGTACAAAACAGTACGGGTTAGCTGTGTTTGGCAGAGAGCTTATGGTACAGCCCCGTCTGATAGATGGATCACTGCAGTGAGGGGGAGCCCCGGATCTGTGCCGTCTGGTCTGGTAGCCGCCAGCCTCATGTGGCTGCTGAGTACTTGAAACATGGCTTCTATGACGGAAGGAACTCAATTTTTAAATTCAGTTTAATTAAGTTATGTTTAAGTATAACTAGCTGGTGGCTATATACTGGACAGCACAGGCCAGAACGAGAGGTCTTAACCTGCGTCCTAACCTGCGTCCTAACCTGGGTCGTGTTGGTAGGCTTCAGGAAGGCGACAGCGAAATCATTTGCAGAGTTGCAGCCCGGAGGAAGAGTCAGTAGCTTTCCTCAGATTCTCAGAAGGCTTCACGACCCAAAATGGTTAAGGGCCCTGGTCCAGAGGAAAACCACAAAGGACCCAGGAGCAGGAAACACCATGAGCCATTCTTCCTAACACTGCTCAGCTCTGTGAGGGAGCGAGCTGGTTTCCGAGCTTGGGATGGAAGAAAGGCCCTTGGGTTAGGTGCTTGGCTAAAGGAGCACAGAATGCTGTCCATCAGTCAGCAAAAGAGCAAGCAGGGACCACAGGTGCCCCTGTGTACACACAGCTGATGAGGATGGCTCACCTCGGGGGCACTGAGCAGGCCCAGGGCCGGGCCTACTTAGAGAATCACAGCGTCCCAGAGCTAGAGAGGCCGAGGGGTCGTCCCCCACCCCTTCTGGGGTGTGGGGGTTCCCTCTTCATCCACCCTCAAGTGAGGCTTGAAAAGTCCTGGTGCCAGAGAAGACTGTCTTCTGTGCGCTCACATGGATTTCGGGTAACTCTAAATTTTCTAGAACGCTTTTCCCTGAATGGTAACTATGATGTTACTCATAGTAGTGAAAGTGGTTCATATTATTAAGTACTTACTGTGTGCCAGGAGCAGTGCTATCCCTGTTGATTGTGTTTCGGGGAAGACACAGTTACTCTGGAGCACGTTGGGGAGGGGAAACTGAGCTTTTGGAGGTAGAGTGGCATCCCGAGCTCCCACAGAGAGCGAGTGGCTGGGCCAGAATTCGGAATCAGGGCTCTGCCCACTGCCTTCCATCTAATGGACCGGGTTCTGACCCAGGAGCTGTAGACAGAAGTCCAGACTCTTCGTTTGCCCAGTAGCATCTGTGTATTTGACGGTCGGTTAGAGGTGGCGTGCGCACAGGCGGACATTTTGAGAACTGGCCTGCAAGGATCCCGCCTGCCTTCTCAGCCTAGATGCCACTTCCTCTGTGAAACCACTCCTCGCCTCCTTCATCTGAATTTATCCTTCCTCTGCGCTCTCCCCATAGCACCTGGGCTCTTATCCTGAAATAATACTTTACCTCCTTCCTGTGTTATGGGTTGATTGGCCCATGTCCAGTGTTTGCCAGTACTCATCAGTTGGCGTGTGCATCAGCCTTGGAACTTGAAAATAGGCAGATGCCTGGCCTTGGCCCAGACTTAACTAAATTTGATATGGCATATAGATCATGTTCAGTAAATACCTCATTTGCCCCATGTCTCGATGAAGGAGAAGTTGCGTTGAGTATATTTCAAAGTCTTTGGAAGCGTATTCTCAGTTACTTCATTTTTTTTTTTCCATTGAGATACCGTTGACATGTAACGTTGTGTAAGGTGGAGGTGTACCATGGGTTGGTTTGGTACTTTTCCATATTGCAATATTGCTGCTGGAGTAGTGTTAGCTAACACCTTTATCACATTACATAATTGTCATTTCTTTTTTGTGTTGAGCACAGTTAAGATCTCATCTCTCCGCAGCTTTGAAGTTTATAATACAGTATTATTGACTATAATCACTATGTTGTGCATTAGTCACTTACTTCATTTGAAAGAAAATATTCTCGAGGAGATCATACAGACTTCCCTCTGGGGTGTTCCATTGTTATGAAAGGGGTACTGGTGGCTTGGGATGAAATTTCCACCGACCGTATCAGACACGATTCAAAACAGCCGTATCCCCCAGTAACAGTGCTTAAAAGAAACAGCTAAAATGCAGGATGGGGGCCCCAGATCCTTTTCAGATACAAACAAGTCAAATGTACAATATAATATCCTATTTTATACTAAGCAGCTTATCTCAGACTGACACCAGCCAACACTCGAGTCCATAGCACATTCAGAACGAGGTGTGGCTAGCCCGGACTCGGGAGGAAAGAGAATCTAGTGGTATTCCCAAGTACGTTCATCTAAATTACGGAGCGCCAGTCGGCATGATTTATGTTGTACGAGTGAAGGAAACAGACAGGGTAGGTACCGGGATTGCGTTATCTAATGATAATCATCACTGAATTCAAAGCTGTTTTTAGGAGGCCTTAACGAATGTTTCCCTTCTCTTTCCTTCTGCAATGGCTGTTTCCTGACCCACCCCTCTTGCTCCAGGATTTGCGCAAGCAGGTAGCGCCACTGCTGAAGAGCTTCCAGGGGGAGGTAAGCGTTTATATTTATTTTATATCCTGAGCTACCCTTCATAGTTCATTGCGTTTGCTTTTTATTCTCATTAAATAAATGCCATTGACAGAAGGTGCTTGCCCAGATGGAGCCTTCCCAGCTGCACTAACTCAGTGTCATGTGGATTTTGTGCTTCCTGGTGTGATGTTTCCACTGGGTCCTCAGTTAAAGCCCATATGGAAAGTGAAGCCGCAGCTGAGATGTAAGAGGATGTGGTAGGTTCCGGGGCAGAGCAGCCCGCATGCCTGTGCTTCCCACAGTGGACTGAGTGTGTCCACACTGGAGCCTTCAGGAGCCCACGGACCTCCTCAGGCTCACTGGCTCCCTCAGTTAGCCTGGGGACCGAGGCCACCAGGAGGCCTCCTGTGTGGGAAGGATGGAGTGGGGCAATCTGGTGCTTTCCTGCACAGCTACTGGGGAAAGAAGGATTTCACTGGCTTGAGGCTTGAAACAAAGAACGGGCAGCCACAAGGAGTAAGTTTGGGCTCAGTGTAAGGAAAAGCTTTCTCCTGGGTCCTTCCAGAGAAGGACCGCGCCATCTGGCAAGATGGCGGGCAGCCCTCAGAGATGTGAGCCGTTGAGGTGGGTGACACTCCAGCTCCTTCTCAGCCCTTTGTGGAGACTGGGTGAACTTTAGAAAACCAGACATTTTGTCACTGTTGTGGAGTTAGCCGTTCCTGGCTCTTAGCTTCCCCTGTTGGAACAATGGCAGCGGTCATGATACTGAGGAAGCGGGATCAAGACTTTTTCAAAGCCCTCAGAAGAACCCGAATCGGGAGCATCTTAAGAATTTTATTTTCTTGCACCTTCCTGATGCCCAGAGCACATGGGGAAGTGAGATGGCAGGTTCAGGAGGGGCAGGAGGTGGTGGGCCGAGCCAGTTGACTTCTGGGACACGAGGGAAGGACGCCGGCGTCCTGGGCCCAGAGCTCCAGAGGCAGAGGTCGGGGCCAGCCTCTGGCACATTCTTCAGTGAGCAGGTGACAGCAGAGGGCGAGGGCGCCATGCAGGAAGGAGCAGGGATGCTGGCACCACTGCGGGTATCGGAAGGGACACCACAGAGGCTCTTCTGTTAACCATCTCCTGTCGCAGGAAGCCCTCCCGTGCTCAGCCCCGGGAGGCTCGGGGGATATCACTATCCCAGGTCTGGATGGACACGAATTGCCTTTCCTCACAAATGCGTCTCCAAACTCTGGTTTTCTGAGTGAGACTGTCACCTTACACCTGCCCGCGTTGATCCGATCTCTTCTTTGACCCGTTCAGCAGCTTTTGTGAGGCCCAGTGGCTTAGGGTTTCTGCCACTGAAATAGCTCAGTGTGCTGGCTTGGGTTGTTTGCTTGTTTTTTGTTCTGATTGAAAAATTTCCAATCTGCATAAAAGGAGAGAGAACTAGTATAACGAGCACATGAACACCCTTTACCCAGACTCACCGCTCACTAGTATTTCACCACATTTGCTCCCGCTGCCCTTTTGCTCAGCATTTGAAAGTAAGTTGCAGATAGCCCGGCTCTGTACCCCTAAACACATGCACACATACGTCTCCGGAAAGTCAGGTTGTTCCCCAATATTGCCACATAAGCCCGAGTATCGCACCTGGGAAAGCAACACTCATTCCGTGGTAGCTAATATTTGGTCCCAGATCAATCTTCCCCAGTTACTCCCAAAATGTCTTTTATAACTGCCCTGCCCCTGAACTGGGGTTCAATCAGGTTCATGTGTTGTACTTCAGGGATGGCCGTATATATGTATATATACACCCACCCCTCCACACACAAAATATATTACATGTATATTTCTCCTTCAGTATAAAACTCTGTCTTCACACCCTCTCACTTTTAAGAATGTAACCCCCTTATAATATAGATTACCCCACATTCTGAATGGGGTAGTGAGTGTGCTTCCAGATATATTAAATTTGAAATGCCCGAGAGACCTTCCAGATTTCTTATTTGCCTTTTTTTTTTAAAGGCGATTTGAAAAATAAATATTTTTATAGCACTGCTAATATTTAAATCGTTGCTAATTGCTATGTTTACATTAAATAATTTGTGTTTTCTAGTAAGCTCATTTGAGTAGAAAGGGCTAACTCCTGCTTGTTTCTGAAGAAGGAACGTTCATAGCAGAGGGGGACCACATGACAGGGTCGGTTTTCTGATGAGTAAGGTCAGAAGCCAGCGTGTCTCGGTGCTTCGATGGGGCAGGACCCATTCAGCTTGTTTTTCTAAAATGCTGCCTTCTTTAATCAGAGGATTACTCTTGTATCCTTCGTTAGTGCCTGCTGAATGCGATTGTATTTATTGGATATATTCTTTGAGTTTATCCCAAAGTGCTTGCGTTCCCCCCGGAACAACGTATGGTGTTGTGAAAACATGTTCTTTGCCTTGCAGTTTGTATAGATTACTTCACTATTTGAGGTCCCGAAAAGAAAAAACAAAACCGAGAACAAGATGCAGTTTTCAGACAGCGAGAAATTCACATAGGACTTCAGAGTTCCTGCGAGAGGGTGTATTGGTAGTGTGTTGTACCGTCGTGGGAAACGTTAGCCCGGCCAGGGTACCGCTCATGCCCTTCAGTGTTTTCTTCTGGTTCTCAGGGCAAACCCGGACACCTTCCTTCCTGTGGCTGGTGAGACCCTCATGACTGGGCAGCTGCCTCCCTTTCTAGACGCCTCTCCCTCCTTTCCACCCATCACTGGATACACGCCGTTCTGAATTTCTGCCAGGCCCTGGTGCGTTGGGCATGCTCGCCAGCCTCCAGGCCTTGGCACGGGCTGAACCACTTCTTTGCCGGGCTCCCTTCGGCTTGGACGCCACTTCCTCAAGGAAGGTCTTCCCTGAGCCCCAAATGATAGGCCGGGTCCCCTCTCCCGTGTGCCCCCATTACACCCACGCGACTTGTGACACATCAGGCCTGGGAGCTGCCTGGCCCTTTGTCTCTCTTCCCCTCTAGCCTGTAAGGTGTGTGAAGGCAACCATGGCAGGAACTAAAAAGTTTTAAGGCTCTCAAAAATGGCTAGGGAATAAATGATTGAACAGTGAGGTGCCTCCGGAGATGGTTTGTAAAACATTTTGCCTCCATCCTTTCTTCAGGTTGTGCTGTGTTAATAAGGAGAAAGGGACATCAGATCGTCTGCTCGGGAAATAGCTTTAAAAGAAACTAGTGAGTAACTATATTTGTTGTCCTTGATTGAACAGCAGGGAATACTGTAATCACATCGGTCACTCAGGATCATTATAGCCAAGTCATCAAATTTAGCCCACACTGAAGTGTGATTGAGTGATTGACTGATTGATTACCATACCTAAGTTTGCCTGTTTCACAAGCCCGGCCAACCGATGAGTGCGGGGAGAAGCGGTTAACCTCAGTGGTCAATCCACTTGAAGACTTATCTTAGTCCAGTAATTCAGACAGTCCCTTCAGGGAAGTGACACACTGTCTAGGAAAGTGCTCGGTCTTGGAAACAGTCTCTTCCTGTCCTTGCTTCTCTCCCTGGCAAGGGTCCTGGTATAAAAGGTTGAGGAGGGGAAGGAGTTGGCTTGGGCCCTCCTCCTCTTGGCTGTAGGGGAGCTGGATGCTTAAGCCAAGTGTTCTCAGAGAGGAAAATCCTCTTAAGAAATAACTCAGATGCTTCTATCAGGGAGGAAATGAAAGCCTGAAAACCTATGAGCATCAGCTTAAAACATTAGAGAAGTACAACAGAATAAGCTCAAAGAGAACAGGGAGAAGGAAATAATAAATATGAATAATAATAAAACTATATAAGAATTAAAAAAAAAAAACCCAAAAGACAAACAGCCCAGAAATTGGTTCTTTGAAGAGACTACCACATGGGTTCTTTGAAGAGACTTCCTAATCAGGAAAGAAAAGGTTAATACTGGAAACAGGGTAACTTTGCAGCCACAGCAGAGATTAAAAAGATAGTAAGGGAATATTACGATCAATTTCATGCCAATGCCACAGCAGAGATTAAAAAGATAGTAAGGGAATATTACGATCAATTTCATGCCAATAAATTTTAAAACCTAGGCAAAATGGACACATTTCTGGAATACTAGAATGCACCAAAGCTGATTAAAGATCAAGTGGAAACGCTGAGTTAGCCTTGTAACTATTACGGAAGTGTTTCCATCAGGTAGGAACAGTTTTTCGGGAGAGTCCTGTCAATCATCCATGAAACAGACAAGTTCTCCTCTTTTGCAGACTCCTTTAGAAAATAGAAAAAGAAAGAACACTTCCTACTTCCTTTTGTGAAGCTAGTGTAACCTTGATACCAAAACCAGACAAGAGTAGCATAAGAAAAGAAAATTCAAAGTCAGTCATATTTGTGAATAGATATGCAGAAGTCCCTAAGGGGGTGTTAGTAAATGGAATCCATCAAGCTCTGTGTATCTCAAGAATGCTGTTTGGTTTAACAGAAAAATGTATTAATGCACATTAATATCATTAGCAGATTAAAGGGAGAAATTATCTTAATAGAGAAGAATCTGATACAAAAATTCAGCATCCATTCATGATTTAAAAAAAAAAAAAAAACCCAACCTACCAGCCATGTGATGTAGAGGGGAACGTCTTTAACCTGGGGAAAAGTATTTACCAAAAATTTACATCAATCATTATACTCAGTGATAATCAAAAATATTCCCTTAAATCAGGAGCAAGGCAAGAATGTATACTATTGCTGCTTTTACTTGACATTGTACTGGAGGTCTCAGCTAGCATGGAAGACAAGAAAGAGATCAAGTATTATGACAGAAGAAACAAAACTATCTGCTTCTCCGCCTTTTGGCTAAGATCAAGTGCAGAAGAAACAAAACTATCGTTTTTCAAACGAGCGTCAAGTATTTAACAAGGTTGCTAGATACAAAATCAATATGCATACTTCTGCATTGACAAAAAACTGAAAAGGATACAACTAGAGTTAGCGAAAAAAATAAAGAATACCTAGAAATTAGTATAATAATGCATAGGAACTCTTTCTG